CTGCACCTACAGCAAGGCAGTCGGAGCTACCTCCACAGGTCATTGCTGCTGTTCCTTCCATTCATCCGGTACCGAAAGAGCAGCAGACGAACTCCTTCCCATCTCCTCAAAGTCAACAAAATCGTGACCGCGATGAAGTTGATTTGACACCGGTGCCCATCGAGGCTGTTGTTCATCAAGGCGCCGGCAAAGTGGAGCAGCAGATAGAAAGGGTGAGAACTTTGAACTTGATTATCATTTGTACTTTCTTCAATCTACAATCATAATTTCATTGCTTCGCCTAAGCTAGAAACTTTGGCTGTTGGTCTCTATGAGTCATTCCGCCCTTATGCTGCTGAAAATTATGGTAGATTTCGAATGACCTCGTTTTGCAAATTTGGGCTTAGGAGAATACCCGGTGATAAGTCCAAACTGAAATAGCCAGAGCGAACTTCAAAGTCAAGGCTGTGATTTTGAAGGAGTTATTTTTTCGAAGCGGACCTACTATCAGGGCTACAAGCTGCCACTAAGGTTGACTTTTGAAAACATAGCAGCGGATATCCATCGAATTGTATATGTGGCCGGAAATGGGTTATACATAAAAGATTATGATCCGAGCAGAAGTGCCGAATTACTGACTACAGAGAGCACCATCGGTCGGCATAGTGGGAATTGGGAACCAGAAGTCAACGCTAGCTCATTTCAAAGTCGTTGTTCATCAAGGCCTTGGAAAGGATCGAATTTATATTCAGGTCTAGGAGTCCCTCGCACTAAATCTCGCCTTGTGACGGGGAAGGTAGTAGTTGGCACCTCTAAAACCGACTGGAATAAGCTGGACTAAGTAGACACATGAGGGGCAGAACGGTTGCCAGTGATATCACTGCTGCACTGTCAAAGGAAATCTTGCGCGGAAAATCATGATTCTATTTCAGCCATAAATCACTGGCTTGAGACCCATTATCCACGATAATAGTGAAAAGAAAAGAACTGAAGTATTGCTTTCGTTTTGATTAGAAATTCGAAAACTCGAAAAGGCTGCTACGCGTTCGAATTGCCCACGGACGTCTTTCACGAATGCTGGGCCGGGGAGGAGGGATAATGTCTGGCGACGGGGATGCTCAAACTTGGTTCTTGGAGTGCATTCACTAGAAGCTCTTTCTGGCCTTCTGCTTCGTTGCATTCACATCTTACACTTCTACTCCATCCTATTCCATCGATCGATTTGTCTCCACTCTCCGAAATCGCGCGCTTTAACCCGATTCTCTCATTGCGTCGCCTGGTACGTAGCCGGCCAAACGCCGTCTTCTTTCCATGCCTCGCCTGGCTCTGCCTCCTGGTCCTTCGATGGTCCATAACGTGTAGTTTTTGTACGTTTGTTTCTCTTCAGAAACCGAATCTTCATGCGTGAAACTTTGTGTGCTATTTCCAGTGATCACAACTGACATATTCATGTTAGGAAAGAGTGCAAGAATTTTCCGCGCAAGATTCCTTTAAAGCGCACAGTTCGGGGATCAAAACCGGGTTAATTTCGCCTTGATCTTTCTAGGGCTAGATCATCAGTATCGACTCGTCTGGAGGACAAAACCTTGACTTGTACATTCTGCTGCGTTTCCCAATGATTGTATAGCAATCGCTTTCAACTTGCACTATACGCGTCGTTGAGTGGAAATGATGCGTGCGGTCTCACACACGGGTTGACCTACGGCAAATGCTTATCCTTTCTTTGGCAGATACGATTCAATATTCAGATGTTCTAGCTAACGACAGTTGCGTTAAAAGTAGAGATCGTCGGAGCCCGTGCGCCGAATGAAACGCAGAGATTCTGATCCTAGCCGCTTTCCTCAAAAGGTAAATTGGAGCAGTAAACAAGCAAATCAATCTTGATTTGAAGTGTTTTTCTGGCTGCTGTTTTAATTGTGATTCAAAAAAATGAGCAATATCAAAAAGGATGAAGGGGTGCATTGATGAGGCTCAGACGCAACCTGAATTTGAGTTACCTTTTCGAACACCATGCCAACATGAGCCATCATCACTACCTGATACCCGCGTGTGTGCTGCAGCTTATTCATGGTAGTGTTACCTCAAAGTTTGGTTCTTCGCACAAATGAATTGTTATGGGCCAGTTAGCCAATATTGTCAATGAGCCCTGAAATCTGAAAATACAGAAGGTATTGCAGTTTTAAAACTCACCATTATTGTGATAACAAACCAATATTTTCGTTTTACCATTGTATCGTATTTTCTAAGAGCACAACTTACGGTGTGGGTGAGATCCCCTGGTCCTTTCCTCGCACAATTTCTGCTGCTATTTTCTTACTACACTGTGTTAAAGGTGCTAGTTGATGTACACTAATAAATTATGAATTACATGCGACCGCTGTAAGCCCATGAACTGAATGCTTAAAAGACCTATGGGGTCCTGCCAGGCCAACTAACGTCTATTGCTTGACTTCAATTAATGTATGGCTAATGAGTAATTAAATGGTTCGACATCAGAGGTGCCTGCCACTGGAAAGCAACTCATAGGAGGAGGGGGTTCGATGGAAGCAGACCTGCATGACATTTTTGGCACTCACTATATTCCTGGTATTAATAGCTTCAACTACAATGTAAGCTGACTAAATGTAGGTACTAACCTAGGAGACACATAATTGTATTGCACTTATGGCTCATATCAATCTCGAAACGAACAATAGTCGTTTTTGTTACGCACTCAACCCGAGCCGTTCTCAATTGGCGGACAATTCTGATTAATGTAGTTGAAATAATCGTGTTAGTTGGCCTAGCAGCGGCTCCAGCTGTAGTACATGGACTGCTCTCGTCTGGGCATCCACCAAAAACGAAATTAGGAGCCCAAAGTTTCCCGCAAGTAGTAACAGCCACTATTACAGGGAACGCTGAGGTGTTCGGCTTGTATTGAGACGGGAATCACCGGATCCGACAGCCGACTGTGCTTCCAGCGCTCCGGCTACCTGTGCTGCTCACGAGAGCTACTGCCTTACTAGGCAAACGCAGAACGAAGGCGGTAGGTGGTAACTGTACCTTATTTTGATGTCATTTGAGCCAACGTTTTTGCAAAGTCCTAGTAAGTTAGGACCAACATCTTTCGTCGTCTGTTAGCGCATTTTTGAGAAGTATCAAATTTCAAAAAGATAAGAAAAAAAAGGAAATTCCAATTTCTCTATTGGAAAAACCTCGGCATTGTTGATTTGTAATCTTCTTCTCCACCAACGTAGCGTTATTTAGGTGCGAGCACTTTATTAGGTCTACAAATTTCGATATAATCTTTCTCCTGCGAAAGGAACAAGTAAAGCGAGCCATTTAGTCTCATAAAACTTTTTTTTTTTTTTTTTTTTTTTTTTTTTTTTTTTTTTTTTTTTTTTTTTTTTTTTTTTTTTTTTTTTTTTTTTTTTTTTTTTTTTTTTTTTTTTTTTTTTTTTTTTTTTTTTTTTTTTTTTTTTTTTTTTTTTTTTTTTTTTTTTTTTTTTTTTTTTTTTTTTTTTTTTTTTTTTTTTTTTTTTTTTTTTTTTTTTTTTTTTTTTTTTTTTTTTTTTTTTTTTTTTTTTTTTTTTTTTTTTTTTTTTTTTTTTTTTTTTTTTTTTTTTTTTTTTTTTTTTTTTTTTTTTTTTTTTTTTTTTTTTTTTTTTTTTTTTTTTTTTTTTTTTTTTTTTTTTTTTTTTTTTTTTTTTTTTTTTTTTTTTTTTTTTTTTTAAAAAAATTATAGCTGCCAGAAAAAACGGTTTTATTCGATTCCGAGCACAAATCATGAAAGCGTTGTGTGGGTAAGAAGGAATGAACATTACAGGTTCGTAGTTAGAAAGGACGAAGTATATTTGCTTCGTCTTAATTTTCAGCTAGTGTTACCATGGCATAAATGCGATGATGTTCGGAGGTCAGTGGTTGCACTCGTCTTATCAAAAAGCTGAGCCGCGAGTAGGTTGCGACCGGTTTGGCGCTTCGCAGTACGCTTGAGCCATGGACCAACTATTGCCTCTGTAAGGAGGACCTCTGCAATCATGACAGCCTCTTAGCTCAAGCGCAAATTTCCGGGTAAGATTTTGTGCTTATATGTTTCATGAAGCCCTGGTTATGATTCAAATTACAGTGTACGAAAATCAGAACCAGCACCAAAACCGAAAACCCCCGCTCTGGAGGAAGTGCAAGCGCCGGAGAACAACGTGCCCAAGGTGGAGCGACTATTTCCAGTCGGATCACCAAGCAATTACTGGTCGCAGAAATTTATAGTAGCTCGTTTAGCAGCCATCACCCGAAGTGACGCACGTTTTCCTTGACAGCGATGAGACGCCAAGCGTGGAAACCTCTCAAGTCCCTGAGCCGAGGTAAGCGTATAAAGAAATTTGTTGCTATAGGAAATACCGAGGCACGCCAAGATTATTGTGAAAAAAAACTGGGACATCGTTACGGAAAAGAGGGCAAGCCTAGCTCAGCACTCACAGCGCCAGCCACTGGTTGATACGGTCATTCATTACGTGGATGACGGGTTTAAATCGACAGAGGTCTAGGGAAATAACTATTAAAAACAGTGCTTTGTAACTGGGCGAATAATCATTTGATTAGGTGGAAAGACCGCAAAATCAGTAACAGCTACGAACTTTTAATGCACGAATTTCAGTAAATATGTCGCTATTCGCGAAAAAAAAAAACATTATTTTTCTAACACGTTTGCACAAAAGTAAGGACATAATGGTGGGCTAGGCTTGTCAATCAAAAAAAAGTAGTCAATTTGCCCATGGCGCACGTCATCATAACCTTTAGTTCGCAATAGGATGACGCTTATGTACTGTGTTCACGGAGATATCCTTCGTGTCCCCATAAGCAGAATCAGGCACATCTTCGCTGCGTTCACCGTCTCCAGAATATGACGTCATCTGTCATCACCGTCGAGCTTAAGGAGGCCTACATAATCGCTCCATTCTGAAGCTGCTACATAAATTCTTCAATCGGATAACTGGTGAATGACTTCTTAGAGACACTAGCTCTGACTATGCAAAATGGCTTTTGACCAGCGTTTCAGAGACGTCGTAATCGTCTATGGTTTCTCGACGACCTCGTTGAGCTCCGGACTCGAGACCTTGTTTTCCGTGGGCAAAATCTCTGATTTTCCTCCTGAGAAGAAAGTCCGATATGTTTCACAAGAATGCTGGGTTGTGAACAAAACTTTCGCCCCAGGCGGGACTAGAACCCGCACCTCTCGCTTTCCGGGCAAGTGCGCTACCAGTTACGCTACCGGGGCACCATTTCATTCCAACTCAGCTTTTCATGGTATACGTACCATAGCTTTCAGCACTCACCCGAATGCGAGAGGTGCGGGTTCTAGTCCCGCCTGGGGCGAAAGTTTTATTCACAACCCAGCATTCTTGTGAAACATTCGCAACGCGAACTGCGGCGTTAAAACAGCAGTTAACAAAACAAAACAAGCCCCTATGTATTTTTTTGATAGAACAGAATGTGCTCTTCAATAGGTTTGGTTCTGGCAAAGCGCAATTAATTCTGCTTTGAATGTGAATGAAAGCTGACTCTTTTTTGCCCCCCCATAGAGGTCACGCTTACCGCGGCTACCACCGCAGAGTCTCGAATCCAATTCTCGACTCCGTCCAGTCAGCTGTGCCATTGTGGCGATCCATCCTGATTTTAATTTTGTACCGGACTTTCTGGCGATGGACAAAAGCACTCCTTTCAACGTCGGCTGGCTCCGCAAGTCATTTCATAGGCCAAATTGCGTTCCAATTGCCGCTGCGATCTGTGAGGATGTAGAATACGTGGCGCATCCCAAGAAGGGTTTGGATGACGCCAAATGCTCTATCCTTATTATGGTTTTCTATAAGGTACTACCAAATGTATATACTTTTCCAAGCTTTTCGAAAGAAGTCACCAATGTAATGAAGTTTTTCGATCTACGGAACTTGGGCGTCGCTAGTCAATACCGTGATTATTGGGTCTTCAAATAAGCTTTAAGTCTGGATCAAAAATGTTGAATACTGGCAAGAAAATCTTTCACTTTTTTACATCATTTTATACAGAATTTTCTTGTGCATCTTTTGTGAATAAACTGCATCTGTTCCTCACAATATGTGTCTATCAAAAAGATTATTCTCAACATGCTGCTTAACGAGTTTCAATTGAATCCTGACGCTGAAACGGCTATTCGACATATCAATCAATGATTTCCTGCCGAGAAATTGGCACAGTTGTGTTGATTCCGATGGAACATACTTTTAGTGATGTGGTTCTGCAGATTTAGTTTGCTTCCAGCCAGTAGCTTCTGCATTTTTGAATTGAATAACCTCTGATTACTTAATTGATGACTTTTGAAAAAAAAACAGAAATTGAAATTATTATAGTATTTTTAGAAAAAACAAAAATTGTCAATAACCAAATTAATATAAATTGACGATAAAATAATTAGTAATTAGTGTTCTGGAAATCAAAACTTATTGGAAGACCTTATTCATAATATTACCCATTTTCGGATATATTTCGGGTAACCCGCTAGCTTCTTTTTGCACCTCATGGATTTCAGGTTAACCCTACTCCTACTCTTGCTTCAGGTTGAGCGATGAAGAACGGGATCTGATCGAGCGACAGAAGCAATGGGACCAGGCGGACTTAGCAGCTTCTGCAAGCCGACTGGGTCTCTTGTCCGCAGCTCTCATCGGGGCCTTCTTTTTATAGAGTCGCCTCTACCGTCAAGAGACCTCCGTCATCTACGGCTTTTCACTTTCACCCGAAGTTTCTAGAGATCTGGTATTCATTCACTACTGTTATTTATTGTTTCAGAGTGTTCAGAGATTTGAAAGTGATATTCGTTCACATTTTTTTCAGTCAATTGTTGTGATCTTTTCACAGTATAATCATTTTCCATTAGAAAGGTGGTTGGCAAAGGAATCCCTTCGGCAATGCTTTAATTACTGTGTTTCGTATTGGTTCAAGATTTTTCTCAAACTTGCCGACTACCTATCACAAAACAGTGCTCAGTCTATTGGGTTTCACTTCAATCGATTTCATTTGAGTTTTCATTGCAATCAATAAAACTGTATATATGAGAAGTCTAGTAAAGGCGAAGGCTTTTTTCTCGGGACGGCTCTTGTGAAGGTCGTTTTTGTGTTGGAACGGGAAGCCGGCTCACTGCCAGCCTTCAGGCGTTTCCTGGTTACCATAAACATTTCCCTCGTTTCTTCGTGTGGTGCCAGCCTCCATATGAGCATTTACTACTTTTTGAAAGCTCATGTTCAATACTGCACTATCTAAAGCTAATTTTAGCAATTCTGCTTTTCGTTATGGTCGCCACAGTGCATGGTATTCTGCGCCGTAGCAGAAGTCTGATAAGTCCCAGTCACCTTTCCCTGTTTCTCTTGTTCCTGTTTACCCTGTTAAGGTTGTGAGGTTCGTCATGTGTTAGTGCACTGGTGTGCAGAAACTTAGGGACGGAAGTAACTTTCACATGATATCTGGTTGCTAGCTAACCTAGGTGATCAAATTTGGCACATATATAGAAGTAAATGTTGCGGTACAGTGCAGAGAGTTACTAACAGAAAAGCGCAAAGGGGCGATTAGAAAAGACATTTTTCTTCAAATACCCTGTCTGAAGCGGTCGATGGGTGAGGCTACTCCAACTCATGGTAGACATTCAAAAGAGAGGAGCTGGTTCTTGATGGGGTGTATGAACACTACGGACTGCAAAGCATGCTCTGCTACGTGCTCCAATACTGGCCACAAGGTTGGTTAAGAGTTCTTGTGGAGAAGCGATCCATTCCTTGAAGACCGCGATTGACAACTGCTGGACAGTTGTTGGCGCATGGGGATGCGCTACAATAGCTCTCCTGAATGCACGCCACACGTGCTCCATAGGATTTGACTGGGGGAAGGGCAGGCTTCACCAATCGCCGGAAATCCTCGCTTTCCAAGAGTTTTCACCTAGGCTGCTCGATGCTCTCGCACCTTGTCCTCCATACGATTGAAGTTGAGGTCAAAGGCACCCTTGAAAAGATGCACATAAGTGAGGAGTACAGCGTCACAATAACGTCGATCAGAAAGCATTCCGCGATCAGGAGTTGGGAGGTTGGTACGCCCTTGCAACTTTATGCCTCCCCACACCATATCGAATGGACTATCAAAACAATCATTGAACGATGGTCCTGGGTGCATTACGTGATCCTATTCTCGCCACATGCGGGTAAGTCCAAAATCACAACCCACACTTAAATTGCCTAAGCTGAAAAGATCACGCGTTCCTCCAAATTGGTGGTCCATCGCTAATGTCTCATCAGACGTTCCAGCCGATGCGCGAGTTTCAAGGGATTACTAGATACTGCTGGCCATTCAGAGGGATCATTCCCATGCGGTCACTGTACCACTGTTCAGCCTGGGATTACGTGCCTTACAATCCTGATAAATGTTTTTGCAACTGCAGCCTGTGACTGACGTAGGTCAATTCTTGCCTGTTGCAAAACGTAGCAATCACCTGCTGTTGCAGTTGATCGTATCCACTTCTAGGGGCAGCAGTGGCTGCGCTCCATATTGCTCCCTTATGCGCACAAAACAATGGTGTGAGCAACATCAAACTC